TTGGTAAAGTGCTTGTGGCACAAACATGAGAACCCAAGCTTAATTGTTACCTCCTATGTAAAAAAGCTGGACATGGGGTGTGTGCTTGTAATACCAGCACTGGGGAGGTAGAGACAGGAGACTTCCTGGGCCTCATTGGCCTCATTGGCTATTCAGTCTTGCCAAATTGGTAATTGAGAGACCCTGTCTCAAAAAATAAGGTGGATGGCTCCTGAGGAACCTCTTGCTTCTGCACACATGTACATACACTACCAAAACGTCTACACACACACTTGCGCAGAGAGAGAGAGAGAGAGAGAGAGAGAGAGAGAGAGAGAGGAGAGAGAGAGAGACCTGACAGTGAGACTATCAGAGGAAGGAAAGAAGGGATGGAGGACAAAGAAAATAAAGGAAAGGAAGGGAAATCACTAGCATTAACCCCTCATTTTACAAATGGAGGAAAAGATGACAGTAATTTATCCGAGAGTCACAGTGAGATGGTGGCAGAGGCTGCACTAGGAAGGACCACCGTGCCATCAAATATACCTGGGGGCTGGAAGGGGCCTTGGTGATTACGAGGGAAATTCAGGGAACCCTTTTAAGACTGTGAGTTGAGAGTCTGAAAGGGACAGAGCTATGTGAGGTATGTGTGTGTGTATGGGCAACAGAAGGGATGTGAGTGTGGGGGATGTGCTAGCATATGTGTGCAGGTGTGAGAAGTTTGTGAGAGATGGGAGTGGGTGGGGGAACTGTCCAGTGGGTACTATGGAGAACTGTTTGGGTTGGCTGCTGCTCTCTAGGAAATCCCACTGTGCGTCCTGGATACTTCTGGTCAGCTTCCTGTTAGACATGGCAGTAGGAGCGATGAACAGACACCTTAACATCTGCCACAAACTGGGTGAGTCCAGGCCTTGGGCCTTTAATCCCTGTCCCCATGAGTGTCCATCTCAGGCTACCACCCATCATCTAGCAGCCAGTAGGCCTTCCTCAGTGGTGCCCAAGTGTTCACATGCCTCTGTGAATAGTAAAAGCAGCCCTGCCCCAGAGTCAGGCAGTCTGCAGCCTAGACCCAGCTCCTGGCTGGCTCACTTCCTCATTTTTACCAGCTTTTTCTCTGGTATTGAGTGTCTGTAACTGCCCTACTTCTTTCTTTTAATTTAATTTAGTCGTTTGTTGTTGTTTTGAGACAGGGTCTCCCTATAGCCCCAGCCGGCCTGGAACTCAATATGTAGACCTGGTTGGCCCTCGTAGAGATCTGCCCTCCTCTGCCTGGGTTTAAAGGCCTGTGCCACCACATCTGGCCCATTTAGTCTTTTGATTTATGTTATTTTGCTAAAGAGTTTAATCTTGTTTTTGTATTCCATAAAAATAATACACAATAATTCTTGCTAGTTTAATATTATGGCAAGATTTCTTTCCTCCTCCTCCTCCTCCTCCTCCTCTTCCTCCTCCTCCTCCTCTGTCTTCTTCTTCTTCTTTTCTTGTCTTTTTGAGACAGGGTCTCCCTGTAATCTCAGCTGACATGGAACTCACTATGTAGACGAGGCTGACCTTAAACTCACAGAGATCTGCCTGCCTCTGTCTCCCGAGTGCTGGGATTAAAGGTTCGCACCACCATGCCTGGCTGGCAAGATTTCATTTAGACTTACCCAAGCAATTTCTTTGCTGTTCATCCTTCCAAATGTTCCATTAGGATCACCTTCATTCTACATGAAGCGTATCCTCTACAGCTTTATTAGTGAATAGGGAGGAGGGTGGGAGTCAATGAGGATATGAAAAACAATCCCAAGCATTGGCTTGAAATACCTTGAAATGTTTCTGTGTAAGATTTTACTTAGAACAAAAGGTTCCAAGGCTTGTAAAATTGTAGTGCCAAGCCTTGCATGTTGAGGGCTGGGGACGCTAACACCTGGAGAGGGAGGGACATGGCAGGCCACAGGGCCAGGAGAGGCAGAGTGAGGAGGAACCCCAGGCCCTGATCTGATCTACAGACCTCCCTTGTCAATGTTCCAGCCCCCAGATCCTTACCCCCACCCCCTTGTCCCCAGAGGCTAGGGTGTAGAATAAGTGTCTGTGAGTTAACCTTCACCTCTGGAACAGGAAGTGAACTGAATGACTTTGCTGTCTTCACCACCTTCGGCCTGGCCTCAGCACTGCTCCTGGGTGTGGACGGGGCTCTGAATGGGTTCCTGGCCATTATCTACGTGTTGACCACTTCTTTCCGCCTGTGTTTTTATTCAGTTGGTGAGTGGAACCGGGGTTGTCTTAGGACTGCAGCCGGGACCAAAGGGCGAGAGGAACTGCTGGAAGCCAGGGGTTGCTCATGACTCCTTGTCCTCATGAGTCCCGGGCCTGTTGGATGTTGAGGGCTGTGTGCAGAACTGGTCTAGGAAGCAGGGGTTCGCATTTCTTGCAGCAGCTGTGTCTCTCTGTGTTATCTATGTACGGAGCACACTGTTCCACAGACTCTAGAAATGAAGGTTGCACAGAGGGAGTACAAACCCAGTACCTAGCTCAGGCTGGGCCTCCAAAGACCCTTTCAAGCAGAGACTTCAGAGGGGTGGGCATGCCTGATCCACACTGGCTGCCTACTTTCCCCTGGAAACCAACACAAACCCAAACATATACAGTATCTGCACTGAATAAATAAATGGCCTACCACCTGCCCCTGACCTTGCCCCTGGCCCTGGCCCTGTCTTATCTTTGTGTACCCTTGCCCCTGCCCCTGCCCCTGCCCCTGTCTTAGGTCAAGGGAACTTTTTAGGAGGGTAAGATCCAAAGCTGTTTAGATGGTGCGGGGAAGTAGCTGATCCCTGGTCTCTCCCTGGCAGGAGGTTCCTTGACATTCAAGGGTCTACCCTGTTCCTACGCTTCCTGTGTTTTGGCTTCCACCTCCCTTCTGACCAGAGGCAACACGTTCATTCTGTGCTGCATGGCTTCACTCATGATTCTGTTCATGATCGACCAGAGCTGCTATCCACAAGATGAAATCCTGGAGTCTGAGAACTGGAAAAAAGTAGTTTATATGGGAGGTGAGTGCAAACACTGTTGCTGAAGGCCGATTGTGGTCAGTTTATTAAGGTCACTGAGGTCACACTGAGCCGCACAGCAGCATTGTTGAGTACTCTGTCCTGATGGGTGTTTCACCTGCTTCTCATCCTCTAACATAGTATATATTCATTAGGCTTTTATTGTCTGTAAATGCCAAACCTCCATAGAGGACTCTATTTTCTTCCTGCTCTGATTCCCAGTGCATGGGATTGTGCTGTGCTCAACAAACACTTACTGTTAGTGAGTTGAATAGAATTTAGGGAGCAAGTGCCCATGTGCCACGTACTGGGAAGTAGACTGGTAAAGTAGAGGCATAGTTCCTGCCTCAGAACTTCAAGCAGATAGAAAGTTACTGAAACAAAATAAACAGCATAAATAATTGGAAATAAACAAAGCCATGGGTGTAATGGGCTCATGCTTATAATCCCAGCACTTGGGAGGCTTGAATCAGGGCTTTATGCAGGTTTTCTTATGTGAAAAACATGTGGAAGTATTGAGATGTACAGGTGAATAATTTGTAGCACCTAGCAGAATACCAAGTACTGAGTACACACGCCACTAGTTTTGGATCCCTTATACCTTTTGGTGTTGAATCTGAGATTCAGATAGTCTCTGGAGTTCCTGAGACTGTGTCCAGGTTTGGTGATTTGCTAGGAGGCGCCTCAGGACACATAATGTTGTCCCACACATGGCTGAGACAGGTTAGAGGAAAAGGAAATGAAACAAAATCAGCAGAGGGAAAAGGTGCATCAGATGCGGGCCAGCAGGAATGAGACTCCGGCTTCCAAGAGCCCTCTCCCAGCGGCATCACAGTCACACTCAATTCCTCCTAGCAATGAATCATGGTAATTCATGTGAGGGGTTGTTTTCCAGGAAAGCTCATCAGAGACTCATGTTTAAAGTCTTTTTTGGGGGCCAGTCACATAAGGCACCCTCTGCTTAGCACATACCAAATTCCAGACTCCGGAAGGAAAGCTGCTGTTCAGTGTAGACCATGTGCTTGGATAATTTGGGCACATTGAGCCACTTGAGGCCAACTTGTAAGCAGTCTTGGGTCTCCCGTATTAGCTCTTTTTTTTGCATGCATATAATGTTGCATGCTAAACTGCAACAATTAGGAAGATTTTTTTTCCCCTAGAAAAGGATCTTGTCAACTTGAATTTATTCTTGGCCAGAACTTGGCTTCTGATCCAAAATCAACAGAATGGAACCTGAGATTGCATTAGGTTTTGTCTACCTGCTTACATAGACTTATCAAACTGAACCAAAAGATGGGACTCTTGTCCCCTGTCACTGTGAGTGGCCAGTGAGGGACGGGAAGGGGCTGATTGTTGCTGGAGAAGCACTGAGTGTCTGTTTTCACCTCTGCAGGTATCTTCATGCTGTTCTTCTCCCCGTTCTCAATCACTGCCTTCTACTGCCTCATGTGGTCGCTCTCCTACATCTTCTTCCCGGATGCCTTGTGGGGCAAGGCAGTCTGTAGTAAGATCTAGCAGGGAGGACGTCACAGCGCCCCCAAAGCCCGCTGGCCTCTGTGGGGTCTAAGCCATCATGCTGGGTGGGCCAAGCCTTGCCATCTCACTAAAGCTTTCTGGCCCCTGTGTTGTCCTGTGCTCTATCTCTTGTCTTGAACCACAGGGCCCCACAGTGGGCCTGGTGGCCTTGCTTCATTCTCTTTATTCAGGGCTTTGACCCCCTTTCAGGTAATCCTTGAATCTGTCACATAGAATAGATTTTTATTTCCAAGCTGAGTTTGGGCTCCATTTGAGTTTCAGCTCTCACTAGCTGGGTGATCTTGTGCATTAGGATTCCTCTTCTGGAAAGGAATTGGTACAGCCTCCCACTAAGCCCTGTGCTGGATTAGACTGTAATTACCACAGTTGTGGTGGTAGAAGGCACATTACAATTTTATTTTTAATTTTCTTTATTCCTGAGAATTTCATACATGTGTACAATGAAATACGATATTTCTCCTCATATCCTTCTCACCATGTCCCCCTCCCAATTTCATTTTTTAAAAATATTTTATTTTTATTTTATGTGTATGCGTGTATTTCCTACGTGTAGGTAAGTGCACCCGTTTCGTGCAATGCCTGTGGAGGACAGAAGAGGCTATTGGATCCCTGGAACTGGAGTTAAGGACAGTTGTTAGCTGCCATGTGGGTGCTGGGATTTGAACCCTGGTCTTCTGCAAGAACAGCTAGTGTTCTTAACCGCTGAGCCATCTCTCCAGCCCCCTAATTTAATTAAAAAAAATAACCCATTAAGTCAGCCATGTGTGGTGGCACATGCATTTAATCCCAGCACTCAGGAGGCAGAGGCAGGTGGATCTATGTGACTTTCAGGCCATCTGGGGCTACAGGGAGACCCTGTCTCAAAAAGACCACCAAAAACAAAAAACCAAAAACAAAAACCCATTAAGTCTAGTCTAGTCCATATTGCATGGATATGGGGCCATCTACTAGAGAATGGGAATCCTACCAGTGGCCATGTCCTCAAAAAAGAGTGATTTTCCTTCCTCCAGTGACTATTAACTGCCAGTAGCTCCTTGGCAAGGCGCAGGGCTCAGAGGTCATCTACCTCATCTATGCCAGGTGGAGCCCAGAAATTACTCATCCTCTGAAAAGTGTGGGAAATGGATGAGTGCGGGGAACCCTGGGAAAGGGGTGGAGCTAGCCCAGCCACTGCAAAGAGTTAGCCAAGCCACTGTGAGATGGGGAGTGGCCAGATGAAGAGTTAGTGGTAGCCATTTTGGGAACCCCAGTAGTGAGGTGTGCAGCCTGAGAATGGCAAACGGCAGGGGGTGAAAACAGCCGGCGTATGCATCTTGCAGACTATGCAGGGTGAGATGAAACAGACCATAGGGTGAGATGGTGCGTGGGCGCGGGGTGTGAAAGCGATCGGGAATGGCGGGCCACTGCAGCATGGTGCGGTTCAGGGCATGGGGGTTATGAGGAGCCGGTTCTTTGTAAGTCATCCCCTCCTAATGTCATGTAAAATGGTACAAAACCCAAACTAAAAATGTCTTATGTTAGTCTGTGAGCTCTGGGGCCTTGGAGGGTGTGCACAGGAGCCTCCCAAGAAGGGAAAAGGGAAGAAAATTTAGTGCAACAAATTGGCATAGTTGGCAGGATAGAGGAACTGCAGGAGTCCCAGAAAAACTTGGGGATGTGGGTCTCAGAGAGCATCATGGTTTTAGTAGTGTCTGGTGAGCCGATCGAAAGGGAGCCGGGTTCAGATTCCCAAATCCAGAAGGGCAGAGATGGGTGCCACAAAGAGTCCTGTGAGGTAATGCAACACGTCTGGGAGAAGCTGATGGGAACCCGGGGGAGAGAGGTGCCAAACCCCATAGGCTTAAGGGGGCTAGCTATACTCACATGCGTTATACAATGGATGATGAAATATGTAATTAGAATGACTGAGGCCATGCAGACATGGACAGAATCAAAGGGAAAAAAATCCCAGGGCCACAGCTGTAGTGTAAATATGGGGAAATAGCACAGTTGCTAAAAAAAAAAAATGGAGTCCACCTCCATATGAATCTGAAAACATAAAGATTATAGAGAGCCTAGAAAAAAAATCTTACAAACAAGAGAGGAACCCAGAGAGGGGGCATGGCCACTTTGCATAATAAAGATTTGCCCAAGACAGAGGAAGCTGAAAAGGCTAGGGAGGTCTTGGTGAATTCAGTTCAGCCTCAGAGCTTAAGAGAGAGAAAAAAAGGGACATTTAAATTTCTGTGAAGTTAAAGGATCCAGGAAAAAAGACAGATAGTAGTGAAAAAAGAAACGACCTAAAAATAAAAGTAGCTAAAGCTGCCCCTCAGATTCAGCCTTTGATTAAAAAGAGAAAAAAGCTAACAGAACTGTAACTAGGAAATACTCCACACCAGAACTGTTAAAACTAGGAAAGACAAGCAAGCAACCAAAGAGCCCCTCACCACATGGCTCATGAGGGTATGGGACATGGGAGCAAATAACGTCAGTCCAAGTCTTTCAGAAGCTTCACAGCTGAGTTATATAACCACTCATCCATCCTTATGACATAGGCTGTTCAACCTAGGCCATTGCAGGGGAGAGCAATCCTTAATGGGATGGCTGGTGCAAGGCATTAAAGATACATGGTCATCACCAAGGGAAACTCCCATGATTAATGGAGGCTGGAGGACTATAAAGGATAGACAGGCATTACTGAAAGAACTACATATGAGAGAAGCAATATATGATGCCCAGTTCATTGGGCCAGATAAGACTGTGTTCACCAGAGATATAAAGGAAAGCTTAATTCAACTGGGGCCTTGAGAATGGTATAGAACTTTAATGGGACAGGATCTTTGTAAAGTGAGAGAGGCTTTAGTGGATCTAAATGACTCTGATCAGTGTGTAAAACGTGTCTGTAGAATAACAGAACACCCTACAAGAGATATAGAAAAGACCGGACAGAAGAAATGGTCTGTTTGCATTACTCAAAGAAAAATGTGGCAAGATTTATGTTGAGCTCAAATTCCCAAAGAAAAAATTGATAGAAAACCAAATTGGTACTGAGTTTCTGGAAGGTATTAGAACTGGAAGAGCAATTTTAAAAAGGCATTCAAAGGATAAAAACTGTCCCAGGTATGGTTAAGGATCCCCAAAGATTAAAGTACATTTCTCTCCTAAAAAAGGCCATGCTAGGGGTGGAGGCAGTTTTTCCCACCAAGGTCTCCCCCCCAACAGCCAGGTATGGTCAATGGAGAGACAACAGATATGGCTACAGTCAGGAGGCAGACCCAGGGCCTGCCAGACTCAGGGAACCAACAGGTGCAGTGGGGACAAGAGAATCCCCCTGCCTCCTTAGCCCTGTGCAGGGTCAGGCAACTGGAGCCAGTACCTGTAAGTGTATCAAGGATATCCTTGAAGTGTATCAAGGATAAAAGAATACAGAGAGAGTCCATGTAAGATCCCCAGAATGTGGAGTGACTCCAAAGGGATAACTAAACATAGTAAAGAACTAACCAAATGAATGCCTCTTACCCATGCTATGGTACCTAACAAAGATCTATGGAGAAAGCAATTAATACGAATAGATAAAACCTTTCCATGCTATGTTGGACCTTGTCTATGATTGATTGAATATATGATGTTAACCTTTCAGTGTTTTACAGATGTGAAACCCATTTGAAAGATACCTGAAGAAACAAAGGCCAGATATAGCTGTAAGATTCTTGGGAGTTTTATGGTTGGGTAAGATAAAATCAGAGGCTCCCAAAACTATACAACTGTTAAGAAAAACTACAATACCAGGGTGGATTGAGCTGTTGGTCCAAGAGAGATCCCAGAGGTCCTCAAATTAACCAAGGCTATTGCCCCTAATGTTGGTTGTACACTAGAAAGGTTGATAAGTCCATGTTGCTGAAGATGCTGCATGATGTGAGCATGGGAGAAGAGAGGAGTTGGAGCTGAGACTAAGCCAAAAACTCCATGCCACTGGATGGACTAGTGCCAGAAGATGCTATGCAGATGGTTGGGGAAGAAAGGATCACTTATGATTCTGCTCAACAATGGCCCCCGCATGCTGCACACTATGGACATGCCAAGCAATGCCTGCAAGTGCAATAAGGGTTTGACCAACATGCGTACAACTGACAAATTTCTAATTGGATAAGGCCCTCTCCTAGGGGTGGAACACACATCTGGTGCTGTAGACCATGCCAACCCCCTGTGTTAGGGAAGGCTACAGGCCCCAGCTAGGAAGCTATTGCAAGTATACTGTTTAATGAATGTAGTACACCTACTGGATATCTTCTAGACATTTGTATTTACATTCATGTTTGTTTAGATGTGTCTACTTCCTTCCATTTGTCTTCATAGTAGGGGAAACAGCACTGAGCTAGATCAATGGCCACATCTTGAAGATGGATGAGGGGGAGGCCCAAGAGATCACTATTTCACTAAGATACAAGAGAGATCTCCCTGCATTGTCACCACCTCCAAGGCTCAGGGAAATTCGTGGAATGGTGGAACGTTTGTAAGGGCCTGAGGGAAGGGGTGGAGTGTAGCCTGGAAATTACTCATTCCTCCAAAAAGTGTGGGCGATGGATGATTGCGGGGCACCCTGGGAAGGAGGAGTGGAGCCAGCTGAGCCCCTGCAGAGAGTTAGCTGGCCGCTGTGAGATGGGGAGTGGCCAGATGGAGAGTTAGTGGTGGCCATTTTGGAAACTCTGGGAGTGAGGCCCAAGAATGGTGAATGGTGCAGATGAAGGCGTGAGAATGCCCAGCCGACACCCTGCTGTCCTGCAGGCTCTGCAGGGAGAGATGAGGCAGGCCATGGGTGAGATGGCATATGGGCACAGGGGTTATGAGGAGCCGCTTCTTGTAAGTCGTCCCCTCCCAATGTCATAAAACAGTACAAAACCCAAATTAAAAATATGTTAGTCTGTGAGCCCTGGGGTCTCAGAGGGCGCATGAGCCTCCCAAGAAGGGAAAAGGGAAGAAAATGTAGTGCAACACCAGGG